CTTTCTAACAACATGCCCACCATCATCTTCGGACATTCGCCCAGCTTGCTCCGCAGACAAACACGTTCAGTTTCACCTCGCACAACGAAAAACAGCGCGCTTCAGTGGACAGTCTGATACTCAACATGTTTTTCGGATCCACACAGACAACTTCTTCGGGTTTTTTCCGGCATTCCTGTGTTCTCCGCGGTTTTCGGGTTTTCCTCTTTTGAACCTTTTTCCGACAGCATGACTGTTTTAACGCCACCATTGCTCCCTCATTTGACTGTCCTACACCTGTTTTCGCATGTTCAGCTTGCTCAAATCAACAACCGGTGCTCCACGCCCACGATCCAGTGATACTTCGCCCAGCCACCATGGACGCGCAGTGGCAGCAATACTACTGGAATCAGTATTTGATGCAGCAACATCATCAGCAGCTCACCAACCCAGATACCACAATCTCTCCTCCCACCACCGCACACCACGCCTACAGCCCCACAGGCACCTATGGCCCACTCACTCACGCACTTCGTACACATCACGTCCACCACTCCAACCCATATGTGACTCCACCGTACACACCACCATCGCAGCACACACCCCCACCCCAGGCACCCACCTCCCAGCCGGAGTTTCCACCTCCGCCACCGCCACCCCTGCCCACGGCCGAACCCGTTACTCCACCACCATCGACTTTCCAACACAGCCCACCGCCACCACCCACCACACGTGGCACCACAGCGCCTGCCCCACCGCCCCCCCACATCCCATCTCCCACACCACCTGTTCCCGACTCCTGGAACCCAACCGAGCAACATTGGGACTCCAACACCCTGCACGGCCACCAACTACATCGTACAATTCAACCCACCCAGTGGTCTCGAAAAGCAGGAGTGGCCGGCCTCCCCACCTTTGAGGTCTTCCCGTGGCAATTGGCTTACCACGGTACCTCCGAGTTCACCGCCCGTACCCTGAGCAACGGCAAATTCACAGGTTTCATTGCCACCAGAAGCATAGCGGAGTCGGTCTTCGTGACCCATTTTCTCCAACAACTCCGCGAGAACCGCCTTGACCTTGACGGCATCGCGGAAGCTCTCCACACACAACAGAGCACAGACATTCCCAACAAAACTACCCATGCCCGAGCGTTTCACGCTCCCCTCATCAAACTGCTTATCGACCAACTGCAAACCCACTCTCCAGCACCTGCGGAAGGCTCCGCCCTACGCGCCCTCAAGAACACCAACGACGAACTGGCTCGTGCACGTCAGAAACTCCACGACCTGGGCAACCCACTCACACCAGTCAAGAACACCAGCCGATCTTCTGCACCAGCCGCCCCTTCTCACGCACCCACGCCACCACCACCGAAACCACCAGCCATCACCGACGTCTTGCAACCACCACACCCCACGCCGCAAGACGATATCCCCGAAGGCTGGAACCACCCAGAGATCCAACAATGGGTCACCACCTTTGACCCCACCATCCAAGAAGCTGCGAAGGAAGTCATCCGACTGCTGCAAACAAGCAAAGTCACCACGCAGCAGCTAAAAGAAGCAGCCACCAAGTATGGCCTCCCCCTCAACCGGGTCAAACGACTCCCCATTCGCAGCCTACAACAGCTGGTGGGAGTCGGCGCAGCCATTGGTTGCTGACTCGCCATCTTGGCCCAGCAGCAACCCAGCCACACCAACCTCACCCAACTCTTCCACCTGCACCGAGCACTTTCCATGCTCATTCACCGCACCCAATACATCGACCGCGCCGAGGCCATCTTTGCAACCGGCCTCATCCACATCACACTTCTTTTCGCATACCCGTCCAACACCCGTCGTTCACAACAATGGCGCAACCGCCTCCGCCAGCTCCACATTTTACCCCACACCTATCACTACCACAACTTCCTCTCTTCCAATTCCGTCTACATCAAGCTCCACTTCAATCCCGACCAACCCCAACGCTGCTACCATCAACATGGCCACTTCTACGTTGGCTCCACAGCTATCGGCATCCCCCACCGCGAGCACAATCGCCGCGCAAAACTAAAACAACTCCAAAACAACATTCCCATTTCTGCAGAACTCTCCTTACGTTATTGGCACTCACACAACAACATCCACCACTACACCACTATTCAACTCACCTCCCATGACACATACGACCAAGCCTGGATCCAAGAGCACCACTACATCGCCAACTGGATGCCTTCACTCAACTGGCCTTTCATTTCCCACCACCTCAAACTCAAAGCTCAGGGATGGCAGTTCGCGAAACACAGAGCCCACTTCTACTCCAGACTAGCCACCCACAAACGACTTTTCCGACGCCTTCGACAACGCCAGTACACCCTCAGACCTCTACACTTCCACTAAGCATCACGCCCTCCAACTTCTTCGCAACCTTACCAAACACACCGCAGCCTCTTTTGAGGCAGCAAAACAGATAAGAAGCGGCCGCCACACGGACCTCGAGGTGTATGCAATCCGGCGTATGGCCGCAAATTTGGAAGAACCTGGCCGCAGCCGAGCTCTTCACATCCTCAACAAAGCCTTGATCTACCGCAACCTCACGCCACCAAAGCCAAACATCCCATTGACAGTGCCCTTCTTGGCCCATGACGACTTTACCAAGCACTGCCAACAATGGCTTCGTACCACCATCCAGCAGCACAAGCATTTCACCATTCCCCTCCACCTCCCCTCCCACAGACTGAGGGAAGCCGCCCACAAAACCCTCCGCTCGCACCTGCACAACCACCGCACATGGGAGGACACCCTCCACTCCCCGCCAGATCCAGCAGACCTCCCCTGTGCATGCGATCACCTTCGCACCCTCCTGCAGGATCCCGATACCCCTACCATCAACGGCCACTACATCCTTACACTTGACCAACTCCAACTCCCTACACACCTCAGCATTTTCCTCAACGCCAATATGAACAGCACCTATTACCCAAGCAAAGCTCGGTACTTCCTCATTTTCAAGACGGCCTATACCAAATGGCTCAAACTACAAGGGCTTCCACCATCCCTAGTTCAACACCTACAGCCTTTCCTTGAGCACCAATGGCGCCTTCACAACACACACCTCAAGCAGCAACCCCGTTTTACGGCCCGCCTGCTTCGTCAACTCCAAGAACATTTGGGTAAACACACATTACTCCACCATGCCGATCATGAGCTCCAACAACTGCGACTGTTTTGCCCTCGCCAATACTTCACTGGCGCCTTCAACACCTGGCAATCCCCCGAACTATTTGAACCACTTCCCTACATCACTGTCGCCAACATCCATGACCACCTGGCCGCCACCGTCCCCCCCATCCTGCGCACCCGCTACAAGTGGGGCTTCCGAAAAGACTTCAACATCCCCTACGGTGTTGTCCACCTTAAAGAGAAGAAGCACTGGCAAAAAGGCCGTACAATTATATCCTACTTCCAATCACTCAGCGGCAACTTGCTACGCATCACCAGCCGTGCCCTCGACATTATCCTCCAACACCTCTACCCTCAGCATCCAGGCCAAATGTCCATTCCACAGCTTTGGCACCACTTTCACAGTTACCTCACCCAAACCCCACCCGACATCTCACTACACGCCACCAATGATGACCTGGTCGGCTTTTTCAACTCCGTCCCCCCAGCACAGACTCATCGATGCAGTCCACTCCCTTGTTCTCCACTGGCAACAACAGCAATCCACACACACCTTAACGGTGGATGTCCAGGCCACCGGCAATCCGTTCCACCACTCCCACATTGGCAGACACCATCGCAAACACCCTACCCAACGCACCATCCAGACTTCCGACATCACCACCATTGTGGCTTTTGCCCTCGACACATGCATTTTCCGGGCTTGCAACAACACTTACAAACAAATCCGAGGGGCCGGGATTGGATCCCAGCTCTCTCCAGCCCTATGCAATGTTGCCATCACCCTCATTGAGCATTCATGGCATCAGATCCACAACAACCTCCTTCAACACACAGACCTCCACTTTACTTACTATCGATATGTCGACAACCGTTTCATTGTCCACAACGAACATTTCCTCCAACACCCGGCTATCCAAACCCTCATCCACCACAATTTCTTTGGCGACCCTGTGGAACTTGAGCCGGTGGAGGATTTTCATCTCCTCGGTTTCAACATCGACCTCCCACAACGCACTATCACCTACATGCAACCTTCTCAACCCTGGAAAATCCGGGATTCCACAACCGCCGGGAGCCAGCGCTTGGCTCTATCAGGCCTCCAATCACGACTCCACACCATTCGAAAATACACATTTCCACCCTCCAGCGCTGACGCTGCTGCGGCTGAACTCGTGAACCTATATGTCCAAAAGGGGCATAACTACCACGCTTGCCACCGGTTTTTGAAAAAAGCGCCGAATGCGGCGACCTGTGTGTGTCCCACCCTGGACAAAGGGTCTTTCACCACCACTCTTTCCACTCTACACAGGCAGGGGCGTGTGGCACTCTCGCCCTACCACACGCAACGAAGCTGTGGGCGAGAGTGGGAAGCAGGGCCCGATCAGCCCTGCGTACCTGCTACAACTTTTGAACACGCTGTCCAATCTTTTGGTTTGATTCATGGTGGTTCCACACGATACTCTCCCCACAAACAGGTTTCCCACTGCACTGCAGCTGCTGACCGCCGCTTCCACTTGCGTTTGTCGTGAAACTTGTGTTAAACAATACTTTTCAGCGGACTTTGCCACCTTGCCGTTCCCTCGCCTTCCTTCCCATCGGAGAAATTGAGTTTAACGGAAAACCAGTGTCAGAGTGTATCGGGAGACAGGGAGAGAATAGAAAAATAACACAAAAAACATGTGCGCGCACACACACACACACACACACATGTAGGATTATAGTCATCTAGGTAGATTAGCTGTTTCATGTAGGTAGTGCATGCACATGTAGGATCATCATATAGTCATCTACAGTAGGTAGATTAGCTGTTTCTATCATTTAGTAGCGCTTTTTGTCGGGCCGTGTCTTCGCGGGCGCCTGGGCCACTTCCACCGCCCGCCGGCCGGCCAGCCACGGGCGCTTGTCCATCACGGGGGAAGAGCCGGGCCTGGAGCGAAGGACTTGCTCCGAAGTGGCTGTGGTTGTGGCTCTAGCAACTTCCCCCAGAAGCCAAAACTGGAAGTCTTCTCCCATTTTGTGAAGAGGTGGCACCAGGAGAGGAGACCCGGGCACGACCTACCTGGTGTTGGTGAAGCTCACTACATGGTGGATGTTGGGGTTTCAGGTGGTTTTGACCCATCTCCATGTGAACATGCAACGGCTCACGGCTCTCGGTCTTTTCTGGGGACAAGGGGCAGCTCCGCATGGCAGAGCTGTCCTGAGCACCAGCTAGTCCTTAAATGTTACGTTGGAGAATTGGTTCCCGAATATGTGTCCAATGGGTCCTTAAGAGAAATCGGTTCGAGCGGACGAATGTGCGCAGGATTCATCAGGATTCCAACCTGGAATGCTGGGCGATGCGGAAAGGCTCTCTACAGACACTGCCAGGCAGGCGCATAAGCTAACATGTTCATCTCAATCTTGCCCGCCATCCCCAGTCTGGCATCTTACAAAGACTCAAGAACCGAGCCTGTAGCAGGGTGATGTGCTTGACCTCAACAAAGAAGCCGTGAAGGTACAAAGAAGGTGGAAACCACTGACAGTCGAATTGAGATGAGTGAGATGATAAGGAGCCTGATGAGCCTGTAGATGAGTTGCTCTTTGCATGCACGCCACAACTGTGCTTTATAAAGACTACGACTACACTTATGACTATATGCATGACTGATCTAGCATTGAAGAAAGGAACGATCCTCCGAATCTTCTCCTGGGATCGTTTCTCTGCCGTTTTGCCAGAACGACTTTCGTCACGAAAAGGCCCGTACGAGCTCCGTATTCCGCATTTCCAGCTCAATGATGCGCCGGTCCTGGCCACCGGTTCCGTGCGGTGGCCCCAAACAAGCGTGGGAGGCGCGGGAACTGTGAAGATCGGAGCGCAGTTCTTCTCAGTTCATCTCAGCTCCTTCGATTCACACCGTTCACAGTAGATGTCATAGCATTCGAAGCAGCCCATCTCTTGGCAAACTTGCCTGGCGAGAAAGGCAGTTGGTCACCGTGCCGCGCGGCAAAACTGCACGGGGGGGACGGCGCGGGCCGTCCCTCGTCCAACATCTGGCTGGGTGGACTCGGTCCGAGGAATAAATTTGTAGCCAGGCGGAGGCACCATCAGTCGGTGGCCCCGGGCACCTGCCACAGACGGAAGAAGGAGGGCCGAGTCGTCACGACGCCGAGTGAGTCACGCAGGCGAGTCACATAGACAAAAGCTACCGTCTCTTGTCTATAGAGTCTTATACAAGCGTTACACCTGTCACCTCTAACCATCTGCAACTGGGCATGCTGCTCGCCTCCACTACTGTAGGTACACTGTAGGCTCTTGATGAATAAACCACCCCACATGAAGAGGTGTTTCAATCCAAATGACTATGGGGGTGGTTATTAATCAAGAGTCTACATCAATCTGAAAAACATGGACCTTCTGGGAGACCTATTCTCATTACAGTTAGTTCTGTTGCCTTCTTTGGGCGTCGTCCTTTTGCTGATGTTCCGATCTCTTCCGAAGCGGCTGCGGTCGACCGCAGCGCTGCGTCGGTGCCTCTCGAGCCGGGCGGCTTGGAAGCAGCAGCGCCGCCGCCCAAGGCGATGCCAACCCTCTCCTGGGCGGTAGGGAGGAGTGACCATCCCTGTCCTCATCGGTGCGTGGACTGGGCCCCCCTCTTGGTGGAAAATCGCCTTCCAAAGGGCCATGGTCCACTTCCATGATGGTTTCAGGGATGGTACCAGCTGAGAACAAACATATGCAAAAATAGAGATCAAATGTGTGAGATTGATTCTAAGAAGACGATAGACGTGTTCTGGCTTCTGCAGCTGAGGAACCGCCATGGCAAACTTCCTCGGCCAAAAGCACGAGGAGCTATCTTTTGAGGGATTGGACTGGACTGAGGAAGCTATGGAGCTTCCTCGGACTGTTCATATCCCCTGCAGATCGAGACGGAAGAAAGAGGTGAGAAGATAAGTTCACGACCCCAGTTACTTACTCCTCTTACTCTGGCCGGTCCATCTCTCAGTAGGACTCCCGATGCCGCTGCTCTCGGCTCAAAAACACGATGAGGCTAGCACTGGCGGCAGACCAATCAGCACAAGAAACTTGAGCCAACGGCGGCGAAAGCGTGAACTGACTCTGGAAGAATATATAGTCAATTGCATAATTGTGTATAGCTATAAAGATCTATAAAGTATAATTAGCACCTATTATTCCTGTCCTGATATTACGCAAAAAGATTAGCCGGTTGATGTGACTTGGATGAATGATCAATCTTGGTCCAAACGGCACCCTAAAAAAATCCCCACGCACGAAACGCGCAAGCCACTTTCTTTGGCGTGCCCACGTTCTTCGCAGCACCGGGCCGAACAAACGATCTACATTCTATCCATCCCATTCTGTCCCCATAGGAAGGAATCCTTCATAGCTGTTCATTCCTTCATAGCTCTGACTTCCCTTCCTTAGATGTCATCCGCTCCGACCAACCGGCATGGCAAAAGGATCTCCTCGGGCCGCGGCGACGCACGGCCGACCGGAAGAAGCCGCGCGGCACACCTCGGCGTGCGGCGTGGGGCACGCGTCCCGTGGTTCGCTTCAACACCGCGTTTTTGGTCGCCTCGTTGGCAGCAGCGCTTGCAGCGTGGCAGGCCTCCTGTGCCTCGCGGCGCGTGTTCTTCACATCCGAGTGAAACGTTGGCCTCACTCGCCCTGACCCCCAACCGCGGGTCGAAAGCGAGCGACCAGCGACTCGGTCGTCACGGTCGTCATGGCGTCCTGACAGGAGGTCATGTGGCGGAAGAGCGACTCAGAGAAGCGCTCGGGTTCCAAAATGTCCTGGAGAAGCGCATGACGAAGCGCTATCGACTGCGCATGACTAGGTGGGCAGAATTTCAGGATGCACCTCCTAGCGTCAAAGCAGGGAGATCCATTTTAGTGGCCATCTACTGTAATGCTACTGAATTATTACATGCTTTTTGGCGTTGCGCTCCAGTCTCAACCTACAGCCACAGGTTCCAGTCACTAAGGAAAAACCTTGTGGGATGTCCTTGCACGTCATCGTCAGCATCATATCCTCGGCAAAGCATTGGTGACATGAAATGATGGCATTGGCATCTACGTCCTCTTTCTCTAGCTCTTTGTTTCGGCCTTGCTTTCTCAGCTTCTCTCAGCTTCCAGCTTGCTCGTTTTCATCGATCCCCACTGGCTTTTGCTTCCCCTCCTCTGCGAGCTTCCTCCACTTCTGCCGCTTGGCGGCCCCCCTTTTTCCAGCCTTTCAACACGAAGCCCTTCTCCGTCCGGACCGGACGCCAGTGGTCGGTCCATCTTGGAGGCAAGGGGGGCGGATCGATGCCAAAGTAGCTGGGGAGCGAGCGATCGGCACCTCCCTCGCAGATCTTCTCCATGATCGTCAAGATCTCATGTTCACTCTGCAGGCTCTTTGGCCTTGCTTTCAGCGTCTGGAACGCATCTTGCAAGATGGTGCCACACACGCTACAGCGCAGGTCGTGACGAGCTTTCTGCACACGCTCCTTGGCATCATCCTCCAAATAATGTAGGGGATCATCTCGTGCCATCTCAAGCATGCGCTGGATACCCAACTTGGAATCTTCTGGCAAGGAACTCATCGGATCATCTTTGCGTTGTTCCGCTTCTTTTCTCTCGGCCTCTTCTGCCATCTTCATGCCTCTGGTCAAACCGGCAAATTCTGTCGACACCATGACACCACTACCAGCTACTGAAAAACAATCTCTTGCAGTCAGGCAAAAACAATAGAATCATTATAGGCATTCTGTCTGTCTGTATTAAGTATGTCGCACCATCTCACTTGCAGCAGGTGGCTTCTCAACCCTTGTTTTCCGCAACCTTCAATTGTTTGCCCAAGTCACGCTGTTTCAAGCGTTCTTTCTCTTTGGCCTTTTGCTGTTTCTTCCGGTCCTGGCCAACAAGGTGCTTCTTGCCTGTGCCGAACTCCACTCGTCCCAACCGCTCTCCTTGGCCTTGCCGCATTGCCTCGCTCGAACGCAGAACTCCTTCGCTGCCCCCGCCGGCGATTGAGATCCCTCCTGACGCGATCCGAACGGAATGGGAGGGACCGAGGGGTGCCCATGACGCTTCGCACGTCGTCTCAACACTAGCAGCTTGCTCGGTGAAGAGAACACGGCTTTCCGGTCCTTCACGGACTTGAAAATGAATCCAGAAGTATCACCACCATAGTCTTCCAACCATTGTTGGCACCCCATTTTCAGGACCAACATGGCACGCATGAAGTCATGCTGCCTTCCGGCTTCAGCAGCAGCTGCCATCCTGAGTCCAGATACCAAGCTGACCACCTTCCATGGGCAACGCAGTTGAATAATTAGGCAGTGACAATACTTTGGTTACGTTCACTACGACACACCATGCGTGTAGTAATACGCATATAAACGCAACACAAGCAACGCCATCTCATCATCCTCCTCCTTCTTCTGCAGGCTGGGCTCGCTGCCCAAATTCAGCTGATATTTCCTCATGGTTGTTTCAAGGAGCATCTGCCTCTCCCACCTCTCCCACCTCTCCCGCCCGACCCTTCGTTTTTCCCGACTTTCCTCGTTCCATCTAAGGGGCTGAAGCAAGGCCAAGCACATGGCATTCGAGGTCTCCCAAACTTGGTCTTCAGACCCAACACCTCCGGCGAGAAACACATGGGCTCGTCGCCGCAGTCACCGAACCATTTGCTTCGGTTCTTCGAGCAAGGCGGTCCACCGTTCGGGTGTGAAGAGGGACGCGCGTTTGATCCTTTGCCGTATGTAGAGCTGAACGCTCCCCAAATCCTGGCCAATATGGCCAGCGCATTCCCGAAAAAGAACGGGCTTCTGTGGCCGTGCCTTTGCTAATCATGCTGTGCCGTGCCACCTCTGCATGCATCTCGCCTTGCACAAAGCATGTGGAGGGCATGAGTCTCAGGGTGTTGCAGGGCTCGGTATGTCTCAAACAAGAATCGCCTATTTCCTTTGGCATTTGAGTGAGAAATGAGACCATCACTTGCCAAAGCCAGTTGTGAGGCTCCTATCTCAGGACATTCCCTAAGCCACGCGACGTGTGCCGGACCGAGTCAACACTTGCCTCTCAAGTCCGGTCGAAGCATCGGATCCAACGCAGGCAGCCGGACTGAGCCCAGAACTGATAATCGCAGTGCACATGCTGCACTCGACCTTCTTGAGTGCCGCTCTCTCCTGTCCACTGCACTGCGCCACGTTGACGTTTGGTCACAGACTTCGCATGACGTTGGTCTTTTGGCAGACTTCGCGAGCGAAAAGGTCTGTGGCCAGCTTTTAAAAAGGATGCTAGACTTGACTTGAGGCCCGCGGGTTTTAGACGGAAGCTAAAGCAATCGGTTGCGCAGGCGCCTCTCCATGCAATCATGGTTCACCGAAGCAACGATGCCTAACCCCAACGGACAAACTCACAGCGATACCTAATCGCAACGGCCAGCTTTCCGAGATGCTTCTCTTGGCAATGTTCCTCGGGGGGGTTGAAGTGAAACACAAAGCTGGCCGAAGGCCTCCCTGAAGGAACGTGTCGGGCTCAATCTGGGTTCAGAATGCCCTGTGGCCTCATGAAGATCTGGTGCGGACACGAACATGGTGAGATGCCCCCCATCTCTGTCAGTCACCCCTGTGATTCGGACTTATTTGAGTTGTCTTATCTCAACAGGTTCAATCAGAGCTTCAACCAGCTCTCTTCAGACTTGGTGAAATATGAGGATGCGGTTGTCTCGATGCGGTTGTCTCGGCGGTTCTCCTGCTTGGAAAGGTGCACCTCAACGCCCACTTTGTCAGGGATGGCTTCATCACCTGCTCCTGCGGGTCACGGAGCAGGACAGGGTGTGGATGACTCATCGCTCGTGGACGGTCCAAAGGATCCAAAGGAAAAGGTTTTGAAAACTACAAGAAGTACACCGAGCTTGGCATGGAAGTGATAGTCCCATGCGTCCCTTTCAAAGACTCTCCGAAATACAATGAGTTCAGCATGGCAAACTGAACACTTCTCGCGGTGTTCTTCCTCATGCCATTCGAAAGGGGTTGGGTCACCGGCAGTCTGTCTCAGGGAACCCTTGATTCCTTTCTCTAGCTGCCGTTTGGGGAAAGTATTTGCTTGCCAGAAAAGTGCCTGCAAGATCCCGTCTAAACTCTACCCCTGGGCACATGACACTTTGAAAACTTCCATGAAGGATGCCCAGTGCTTGAAACAAACAGCTTGCCTATCGCACTGTGGTCTCAGGCTTGCAATTTTGGGATGCACAGCCCCACCCCCCAATCAAACATAGAGAGATCGAGAGATCATTTGAGTTTAGGGCTTGCGGGATTGCAGGGAATTTGATCACCTTGTGGTTGCACTCCAGGGAAAGAGTAAAAAAGATCCCGGCCAAACAAAAAAAGTCGGATTTCTGATCTTGGATCGCGTTTACCAGTGCCATTTGGCAGCCTGAAACGCTCAGGTGACGATGAGTTAATTTATATAAATGACCGCTGAAGGGGTGCCCTGAACGGGTGCCCTGACCGCAGCCTTCCCGAGGGTCGGTGGTTGCGTCCCTTCCTACTTGATCTTTTGACCAGATGGTTTGGCGAATGAGAGCACGCAACACCAGAATGGACAACATTCACGCAATGGTCAGTGACGGCTGGCGATAAACGCTAGCAAACAAGCCTAAGGCAAAGGAAGGAGCAAGGGCTCTGCACAAAAACAAGAACTTACATTCGAGAAGGTGCTGATTGACCGATTGCCGTCGCGAATTGTCAAGGCTTCCAGTCCTGTGCAAAAGTATAGGCAAAGAAAACATGTTCTTGTCGCCCACAACCTGTGCCGGCGGCATCATGCAGTCTCTGTTCCACCTAAATGATCCAAGCCTCATGTCCCCAGCTAGATGCCATCGCTGTTGAATTTAAGCTGAATCTTGAGCCTCCCTAGACGGGTCAAACACAGGCGGTTGCTCCTGACACATGGCCCATCCTTTCCGCTGCAAGCTGTCAACACCACAGCCCCCGTTGGGGAAAGTTCAACCAGCATTCAGCTGCGAGTGAGCTGTTTCTCAGCTACCGGCCCCAAAAGACCACTGATAAGGGGGACAAGTTTGAGGTTCCCGTGCACCACACATGGATCGTTTTGATTCTTTGGTTCCTCGACTCTTAAGCGCGCTCGGCCCCTAGCCTTTCAGGCCAGTGGCCGAAGCAGTGGCAAACCGCCAACTCACAGCCGGCAGCAGCCACCTATGAAAGGCGTTGGAACTAGCGAACATGGCAAGACTTCGTATTAAAGCTCTGCTTCACGTTGCTTGACTCTTTCTCGCAGTTTCGCGAGTTTGTAAAATTTCTACGGCAAACTTGCCAGCCATAATGATGGCTGGCCATAAATTCAGGATCAGTGGGAATTCCTCAAACTCTCGAAGAGCCTCACAGGCTCACAAACTCGCAAAGATCTCGCAAGTAATAGCGTTGCCCAGTTCTTCTTGCGGTGTCACTGACCATGTCACACGAAGCAGTCTTCAAAGGTATCTTTGGTGATGCAACTGTAAAGTTAGGACTAATAAATCCTCCCTAGTTAACCCGAGCCCACAAAGCCGCTGGAAATTGCCCAAATTAAAAGTAGTATTGGTTGTTGATTTCCCCCCCAATGGTCTATAGTTCTCTACCAGAAATCCCCCCAGTTAATCTGAGCCCGCAACCAGGTCAATGTTTCGTAGTTTCGTATTACTACTTCTGCTGCCGCTACTACTACTGCTACTGCTACGTACTAGCTACTAGCTACTAGCTACTAGCTATTGCTGCTGCTGCTCCTCCTACTACTGCTACTACTACTACCACTACTACTACTACTACTACTACGACTACGACTACTACTACTACTACTACTTATACTTACTACTACTACTACCACTACTCCTGCTGCTGCTGCTACTACTACTACATCTACTACATCTACTACTACATCTACTACTACTACTACTACTACTACTACTACTACTACTACTACTGCGACGGCCACCTCCACCACCACCACCCTACCTACCTACCTACCTACCTACTTACCTACCTACCTACCTACCCACCTACCCACCCACCGACCGACCTACCTACCTACCACCTACTACATTTTTGATGAAATCCTAAATGTCTAGGGCTCAGGGCCAATGAACTGGCTTATGAAACAATAAAAACAAACATTTGACAAGCTCATAAAGGGTACCCCTCACAAGGGCCGGTCCCCCATCAATAATCTGCACTACTACCCCCTATTAAAATGATCCTGTGTCCCTGGCTTGTTCTTTGTGCTTGCTTAAGCTTATTGTGACTACTACTACCACTACTGCTGCTGCTACTGCAACTACCACTACCACTACTACTACTGCTGCTGCTGCTGCTCCTACTACTATTTTTATTACTACTACTACTCCTACCACTACTACTACCGCCACTACCACTGCCACTGCCACTGCCACTCCCACTACCACCACGACTACGACTACTACTACTACTACTACCACCACCACTCCCACTGCCACTGCCACTACCACTGCCACTGCCACTACCACTACCACTACCACTACTACTACCACTACAACACTACTACTACTACTACTACTACTGCTACTGCTACTACTGCTACTACTACTGCTACTACTGCTACTACTACTACTAAATCTACTACTACTACTACTACTACTACTACTACTACGACTCCGACTCCGACTCCGACTCCGACTCCGACTACCTACTACCTACTACCTACTACCGACGGCGACTGCGACTGCGACTACGATTGCTCCCTGAGCAGATTATTCAGTGGGAGTGGACCTCATGAGTGATATCTCATATCATATCGTCTTGACCTTGTTGACCTACCACGTGGGGGGGGGTTATTAATCCGGTCTTCGCATTGCACTGTTCCAGCCGTGAAAGCCAGCACCTCCAGCCGCCAGGCGGTATCGCATTCGCTACCGAGTCATTCCAAGAGAGGCGTCTGGACCATCCTGGCACTGAACTTCGAAGCAGAAGCAGGCGCTCCGTTCCGCGCGTGGAACAAATGCGCGCGGAATGTTGTTCCGGAAGGCCTCGTCCAGGAGCGCATCGGGCGGTCGGTCAAAGAGAATTCCAATCGTGATCCTCGGGGCGCACGTCGGTGGATGACACCGGAAAGGGCACGGTGGATGACACTGGATGACACCGCAAAGGCCGCAACGTCCGGCTGTGTGCGCGAAAGAAAATGGAAGAAACCATGTCTAGACGCCAAGTCCCTACCCCTACCAAAGCTGCTATAGTAGAAATACTCTTAGCTGCTGTTGATCCTTTTGCTGCTTCTCCTCCTTCTCCTGTTTTTCGTCCTTCACCTCCTTCTCCTCTGTCTCCGCATTCTCCTCCCCACTTCCTTTTCTTCTACTCCTTCTATTTCTCCTCCTAGTCTTCCTACCAGTCCTACTTTCAATACTCATGCCACTATATAACACCACTCAAACGACTCCAACCTCCCATGACCCCTTGTCCTTACACCGACTTGATGATGCCGCCAGCAACAACACCAGCACTATGCCATGCATGTCTGGTGCTTAGTACTAGCACAACTCCCACAACATCCCACAGGGCGAGCACTGCTGGAAAACGGTCACTTCTACCAGCTACCACCACCACTTCCACCTCTGCAGCTTCTGCCACTGCACCGAAGCCAATTGTGTCACCAAGCGTCATGGCTTGCTTTTTCGCGCGCTTTCCCTTGCCACCTCAGCAATCCCAGTGGGTTGGAGGGTCTTCCAACTCACACACGCAAACACACCCACCCATGTGAGAGGTATCAAGCTGAGTGCAGCACCTGCAATACTGAGAGGTATCATGCCATCAAAGCCGGCACAGAACTGTTCCACTTGCACGACGCCCGTGGCCAAAAGGCTATCGGCATTGTATCGATCCTTGGCTGCCGCTTCTGAAGCGGTCGACGTCGGTCTCGTCTGCAGAGGTCGATCGACGTGGAGCCGGAGGGTGACATGGATTCGACGTGGAGGCGGACAGGGTCACCCGGCTTCGACGTGGTCCACTCTTTGACCGTTCGAGCGCCACCATGTCCCACCGCAGAAGTTCGAGCGGTTCCACCCGGCGGCAAAGTCCCAGACGGAGATTTCGAGCGCCACCTCGCCGTGATACGTCACGGAGCCTGTGAGACGTCATGACGCGCGAGGCGAACACCGAGAATGGCCCTGGTTGGGCCCTGGGTTGGGCCCTGGTGGGGCCCTGAATGATGTAATTGTCAATGAATCTGACCTCTGGGGGAGGGATCGTCACAGCCCTGCTGGTTTTTCCGGATTTTCGGTGGATAGGGGTTCGTTTCTGCAAGACCTCAGAATAGAGTTCGAAGTTGGATCAGCAGCTGAACTCGTGAACTGGATGTACCTCAGTGGTGTGGCTTTATGATCTTTATTGCGTTGATTCGATGGGAATGGTTTCGTGGGCGTCACTTGGACTACAATTGCAACTCTCTTCCATGGTCTTCCTCTAAGTCTCCCATTTCCCCCCCACCCTTTCTGGCACCTTTGGAGTCCCAAATAGGATCGCCACCGGCATCTGCCAGGACGCTGGTGCGGACTTCCTGCGCCGTGCGGAGACCCACCCCACAGCGGGCATGCACCGAAAGCGGCCAACGAACAAGCGGTGCCATCAGACCACTCCAATCCAAGGCGGGTGCACTCCGTGGAATCGAACTGAAAACCAATGAACACCACCTATTACAGTAATATAAAGGAAGATGGTAATCCACATGCCATGCCATCCACCTCCATGATGATTCCGGGGAGTGTAGATTGGTTCGCGTGTGTTGCATTGGCAGGTTGGTGGAGTAAAGTGCTGCAGTCCTGGAGTCCATGGAGGGGAAGGTCAATTGTTTTTAATATATATAGTTTTAATTACGGTAATCAGTTCCTTCGTGTGTCTTAATACAGTAATCAGTAATCACTACATGAAGCATGTCAAAAAAGTTGGGATGGAAACTGGACATACGAGGCACGTCCCTAAACTCTAAAACCCTGGCTGTCTTCCTGGCCTCCTTGCTGCCGCGGAAGCGAACAATCGCATAAGGATCCAGTTTGTCGAACCAGCCGCCCGAGGTGAGATTGGAAGCGTTCCGCACATAGATATGTGCCTGGAAGATGCTGAATGAGAGACGCTCAAAGGCGGTGGTCAGAACGTTCTGATCAGGGACACTCTGACACTTGTATTCAGTGAACTCAGTTACGTACCACGTTGGGAAGGAAGGTGAGGGAAACGTAAGGTGAAAAAGTCAGCGCAACTGAAATGTTTAACAATCTGTTCACTCATCTGCAGAAGCGCGGCTGAACGTCGGCGGCTGAAGGCAGCGGTGGGAAACCTGTTTTGGGGTGGTAGCGTGAAGAACCATGAATCAAAAAGTGGAGAAGTAGAGTCACAGCGTGGAAAACAGTTTCGGTCGCAGGTACAGGAATGTGCGTCCACATTCCCTTCCGGCTGAATCCCATAGCTTCGTTGGCATGGCTAGGGAAACAGCTGCCATGCCCCCTGCCTGATTGGAGTGGTCGAAGGAAACCCTTTGTCCAGGGGTGGACACACACAAGCCGCCGGCTTCGGCGCTTTTTCAAGACACCCCCTACCGTTGAACCAGTGGACGAAAACCTGTTGCCCAGGGGTGGACACACACACAGAGCCGTTTTCGGCGCGGTCAAAGTAGTAGTAAGGCCAGGGGCCTCCAGTAGCGTCCTAACTCCCAGGGGAACATTTGTACAAAAAGCGCCAAATTGTTGGCGCAACGAAGAACTAGTAGACACCTAAAAAGCCTTAGAAAGACAGAAAAAGCAACGAAACAAGAGCAGACTAAGAGGGCAAGAAAGAAAAGTAGGGTAGTTACGAGGCCCACTTAGTAAAACGAAAGTAGAAGGCGAGCGGGACATTCGTCTTAAACCGCCCGGGTAGCTAGCAATAGCTAGGAGAAACAGAAGGAAAGGCACCAACACACAAGTGTGTTGAGTGCGATTTCCTTCTGTTTCCCGAGTAGCGGGTGGGATAGCAACGGAGGCCTGGGGGGAGGGAGGGGGTGAAAGAGTGACTAGGGCGTACACGGTAGAGGTGCAGACCGCTAGTGTCTTTTATGCGCAGAGTCTTATCCTCTTGCTCTTTAGGTCCATTGACCCTCTCTTGAGCCTTGTAGCAGTCAAGCATGGACACACTATATCAGCTGTTGGAGTGGAACCCTGTACAGGAGGCTCTACTTTTCAGCAGGCACAAGATTCATGTCCACTTCTAGCTGATTGCGTATGTCGCATACTCTTTTTCTACTGCAAGGCTAAAACAGTCCAGCTAGCTCTGACAACTTAAAAGAAAACTACGGTGCCATATACTTACCTAATCCAGTGTGTTTCACACTTTGGAGAAGGTAATCTCATAGCTACTAAATACAGTGAGGGAGCAATAGCTGACTCACCTCAAGTACAAAATCAAATCGATAATGTACCTCGGCTGGAGACTGTACTTTTCGCAGGCGGAGATACCATGTATCGGCGCTCACTAGCTCTTTATGGCCTGAGCTAAATCAAACTAAAAAGGGAAAGCGGCTTTTTCTCTACAGAGACCTATCAAAGAATCAAACGACACTCGCGTAACAAAGAACTAAAAATTCAAGACCGCGCAATGCAATGAATTAAGATGCCTTGCAAAATGCAAGGAGCGTACGGTCCGAGAAATAATCTTCTCGTGACGTGGTCTCGACCGCTTTCATTCACAGACAAAATAAAACTGCATCAAAAGGACTCTCTTTCACATTCACATCAAAAACACAAGAAGGAGATACCGGCAAATGTATGTACAAAAAAATCTTGCACTACAATTGCGAATCATGAAATGACTTAATCATCAACCATGAATGGTTGTCCATTAGAGGTCATCTCAGAAAAGCGACTGTGATAGATATCATCAGTTATGCAAAACTGTCCATACCTATCTACATGCTAAAGCGTATAAACCTGGAATGCAGGAGTATCTTCTTTGATAAAAAGTTTCTCCTGGTTGCAAACCAGAGTTCATTAAAACTTCAGCCTGGCAACTTAAAGTCAAGCCTGGAAGCAAAGTATCAACTGTAACCAGAAGTATCTTCACTTCCTAGCCATCATTTAAATTTCAGCCTTCGCTCAGGAACTATGCCGCTGCAGACGATGAAGCTGCTTGATCAGAAGTTGGCGGCCTTCCTTTCTTTCTATTCTGCTTTTGTCTCTCCTTCCTCCGCAAGTTCGCCTCATGAAGAGTTGCTCCCATGCGATACTGTCTTCTGTCTCCAGATGAAAAGGAAGCTGGTCTGAGTGAAATAAACATTGGACCATGACTGTCCTCGTCAGTGGGCCTTGAGCACATAACCTCTGTATCAATCATAGCAAAGTTCTCTGAAAAATTACAGATGAACTCCTTCGTGCTCACTGTGGAATTTTCATATTCCTCTTCACTCATTGAATGACCCCATTCAACAATGGTAGACAAACATGTATCGCCAAGCTGTGATCCTTGGTATTCTTCTTTTTCAACAGTAGAATATTCTTCCCAGAGTTTGTCAAAGTAATCTTCACACTTCTTGAGGACCTGTGAAGTTGAACTGTAAAATGTTCTGGGAATAGGTGCTTTGATACCAAGATCTGCTTTTACACGAGCTTCTGAAAACTTGCGGATCCAATGCTGCATGGTGCTATAATAGTAATTAGCCATTGGCTGTCTTTTGTACCCAGACATTCTGTAGGCCAAACTATTTGCATCACCAGAAATGATGTCCACCTCATAGACAAAACACTCATAAAGCATCAATGCTGTTTGTTCTCCTGTCAGTAGGTGGGCATCCACAGCACGGTGTGTATCAACATGATAATTACAGACTCTGATGGTATGCACGTTCGCTCGAGTAAGTGGAACACGCTTGTCCTCAGGACCATAGTCATCAAATTCAAAGTCTGCATCCTTGAAATCTTGACGAGGCCTTGTTTCTCCAAAACAAATCTCGTAGATAGCCCAAGTTACATCACGCTGTTCACAATGACCAAGTTCTTGATCATGTCCAGCAATGATCTTGACATATCCACCTGGTGCCAATCTAGCCATCACTGCAAGATTCTCCCAATCATTGAAACAAACTGTCCAATTCTTTTGCTCAATAAATTCCTTGGCAGGAACAAGAAGATGAGCTTCCTGGAGAATCACGACATGTGCACGTAAAAAGAAGAGCATGTTGAGGAAAAGGTTGTTTTCAAATTGCTCATATTGAAGTGACATGGCACTCTGCTTGCGTGGCTTCATTGCACCATCAAGTCCTTGGAGAAACCTTGGTGTGGTGTACTTCTGACCACGAACCATGTTGCCATAGTTCCAGGATAAAAATGTCAAGGACTCTGAGCTGGCCAATAAATTAGTTCCATATGGTTCTTCTATTCTTCCCTTGAGGAACCTTCTGCACAGCTCTTCATAGAAGGTGACAAAGTCCCAACTGGGTCCCTTGGGACCACATGATTCCAGTTCATTCTTGAGTTCCTTCTTCGTCTCCTCCAATTCTTCTCGAGCATGTTCTGCCCTTTCAAGGGCCTTTGGATCGACCTGATACCTGCCATCCAAATAAATGATGCGGTCATCATTGATGAAGAATCTCTTCAAATCATGCTCTGGTTCATGTTCATAACAATCAGGTGGAGGTACTGGACAGATATTGCGAATGGATCGAACAAAATCATTCTCGTTGATCCTCGACTGATAATGAGGATGGGAAATCTCACCTTTTCTAAAACAAACATGATTCAGCAATCTTGCATGAGTTTCCCTGAAGCATAGTTGATAAAAGCCAATACCTGGATCTCCTGTAATCTCTCCAAGCAACTTCAAAGGTGAAGTATGCAATTCATAGGTATCGTCAGCTTTTGTTGTATCCTTTTCAACAACTACTTCAGATGGAAAAGATTCTTGGATTTCAGCCTCCAATTTCTTCTCTCCATCATCCTCTCTGACCTCTTTTATTTTCTCCACCGCCTCTTTCTTCTCTTCCATGGTTGCATCATCCTGAACTTCTTCATGAAAATGAGGATCAGGAATTTTATTCAGGCGGCTTCTCTTCGATTTCCGCTGACCTGAAGTATCATCAAGGTTAGCATCCATCTCACCTGATGGTAAGTGCGATGCAGTCGAGTCCTCACCTATCTCTCTTGACAGAAAGTGTGGTGTTGACTCTTCCTTGGCTTCCTCCTGGTCAACTTCCATCTTTGGTTCCTCTGAAGGAAAAATACCTGCATCTTCATCAAATATTTCTTCTTCCTTTTCAGGTTCAACTGCAGGATCTTCTTCAGGAACTTCCTCTTCCATATTCTCATCTTCTAGAAGTGTCATACTTCCAGTATAGACTTCACCAGCAATAGTGGAGACTCTTGTATAAGGAGGAACTTCTTCACCTGCTTCAAAAGCTTGTTCTGCAACATCCTTGGTGAGCAAGTCCTCTACAAGATTTTCTCCCTCGGTTCTTGGAAGAGGTCCTGAGGTCTCATAAAAATCTGTCCTCTCTGAACTGAAAGCTTCTGTCGCCTTCTCATTGTCCTTTTGATCCCTGAACAGGTGAGTAATCTTCACAGCTTCTCCCTGTAGCACCTGATCACCTCCTCTATACTTGTCGACAATGGAGCGCCATACTGGAACATCATCATCATCAAAATCAAGCTCCATATCATCTGCCAACAGGTATGAGATGTTTTGAGCTGCCTGTTCTTCTTCTTCATCACGTTCCTTGGCAAGCTCCTCATCCTTCTGGATCTTGAAGATACCTTTCAGGATGTCTTGTAGTACCTTTAAGTTCAGCTTCGATGATGGCTCATACGTCCCTGAACTTACAGGCTCAACTACAACACGAGAGCAAGAAATCGCCTCCAAAAACTTGGAATTGTATTGGCGTTCAAACTCTTCCTTCTTGATCATCTCATACAAGGGATCAGAAACTGCAACACGCGCCTGAACATACTCACGAAGTTGATAGCATGCATGTTGCACAAATCTACTGTTGGAGTTGTGAAGAAAACTCTCCAAATGATTCCTGTCACGGTCAATCAAATACCACACAATCCTTGCAGAAAAACGGAATTTCTTGAAGTTCATAGCAAAATG